TAGCAGACGAACTTTCTAGACTAGATCCCAAGGTCTTCCGCTAACGCCGGCGTCAACATGAGCCAGCCAGCCCAGCAACGCTTGGCACACACAGTATGTTCTCAAAAAACTATGTGATTGTATGCTTTTTTCGTTTTCACAGTTTGTTTTCTGCGAACGAAAAAAATTTCTTTTGCATATGTATGCGTGCTTGTCAGTGTGGTGCCTATGGCAACGATCACTTGCCTTTGTGAATTGTATTGACTATTGGAGCAACAAAAAAAATTGGTTTTTTTTATAAATTTAATTCAACAAATAATAAATCAATTTGCAAGTTTGGAATAGACCAGCAGCATATAACAAATTTAAGGCATGTAAAAAATTTAACATATGAAGAATTGGGCTAGATAAACTACGAATCAAGTGAAGAGGCATTAGTTTCTTCAGTTATAAAAATTGTAACGACAGTCGGGAGGCCATTTTGCTTTTGGATAGCGAATGGTTCCGCGAAATTGTAAGCCAGATTTTTAAATAAATATGCAAATTACAATACAATAACCAAAAAAAAACGAGGGGGAACGTTGTGAGTTGCTGCGGACACCGCAACTCTACGGTTATACCCGATACTAAGTCAGTATGGCTCTCCTCCGGCAGACGCCGCTAATATTTAACGACACGACAAAGAGTGCGTGCGAGAGAGACAGAAAATCAGTCTAAGCGTGACGTCGGGCGCTGCGTAGCCAGTGCAAATTGATTTGCTCCTTTTGGCTATGAAAATGATCTGATCTGATCCAGATTCAGCAACCTGATAGATATGGTTATTATCTATGATTCTGCGTTTTTAGTTTTCTCAAATCTGCAATATTGTGGATGCAACAGATTTTCGTCCTTTGTGGGGGCGGATGGGGGTGGGGCGAAATTCTGAGATATACGTTTTATAGTGACATCTTAAAGGAGTGTGTGTACCAAATTTGGTTACTCTAGCCTTAATAGTCTCTGAGATTTGTGGTTGCCTCAGATTTTCGTCCTTTGCGGGGGCGGAAGGGGGTGTGGCGAAATTTGGACAGGAAACGGTCAAGGTCCGATATCACAGGAGTGTGGATACCAAATTTGGTTGCTCTGGCTTTTATAGGTTCTGAGATCCTTGAACTCATATTTTGCAATTGGCAAAACCGACCATGAAACCTGTGTGTTAGAGTGAGACAGAGCGAGAAAGAGTGAAATTGTTTTCGTGATTCTGGCTGTAATAATTATACGATCTGGTTCAGATTTTGCACTCTAGAAGATATAGTCATCTTCTACGATTCTGCGTTTTTAGTTTTCTCGTATCGTCAAAATTGTGGATGCCACAGATTTTCGCCCTTTGTGGGGGCGGAAGTGGGCGGGGCAAAGTTTTGAAATATTTTTGGAGCAGTGACATATCACAGAAGTCTGGATCCAAAACATCGTTGCTCTAGCTCTTATAGTCTTTGAGCATTAGGCGCTGAAGGGGACGGACAGACGGACAGACGGACAGACGGACGGACGGACAGACGGACAGACGGACAGACGGACAGACAGACATGGCTCAATCGACTCGGCTATTGATGCTGATCAAGAATATATATACTTTATGGGGTCGGAAACGATTCCTTCTGGACGTTACACACATCCACTTTTACCACAAATCTAATATACCCCAATACTCATTTTGAGTATCGGGTATAAAAACCGAAAACATGAATAAATAAACATAAACACGAAAAAAAAAAGAACGAGAGGAACGTTGTGAGTTACTGCTGCGACCGCAACTCCACATTTATACGCCACACCATCTGCAGGTGATCATCAACAATGTGCCCGTAGCACAACCAGCAACGGTCACACCGGCAGCCGATCATACCCAGTGTGCCTGTAGCCTGCGTACCGACGGGCACATTACCAGCTGATCCACGCGTTAGAAATACGCAAGGGCCTAACAGCTGCTTTTCGGGAAGAGCGTTCTTCATTGGTTCGGTCCCAGCCAGTCAAGTGGTAAGCATCGGTGGCTACAGCCAACAGCTCCAGCGATCGATCCCTTTATCCCGGAGTAAACTTCATCCTCCGCCTCCAAATTCTTCGGAGCGTACTGGAACCTCCGCAACAAATTGTCTCTTCAGAGTGCACTTGAACCTCCGCACCCAATGTTCCTTTTGGAGCGTACTTGAACCTCCGCAGCCCAACTTCTCCTCGAAGCGAACTTGAACCTCCGCGACATAGACCAAACCGAGGGGACGACATCATTTTCAAATGAATACCCTCATTGGAGCAATCGAATTACTTCTGTTTAAATGCATCTGTAGACAATATAAAATATATTACAAATTGTGTAAGTTATACAAGCTATAGTTGTAGCTCTTACTTCTTAATGCTAAAGTGGTTCGAAGGCCTCTTAGGAGTCTAGAGATCCATTTTGCACTGCATACTTCAGCGAAAATAAATAAAATGCCGCGCACGCTTCATATATTTATATAGGCACATGTTTCTACAGCCACAGAAACGAACAAATATTTAAGAAAAGAAAAACACGGATCACCTCTTGACCAGTCCACACGTGACACGACGGTTTGCTGCTTTTTTGGGAACTATGAGCGGCAGCGCAGTCGCAGCGCAATTTCCTTTTGTATCACTGTCGCTTGCGAGCTCGCTTGCGAATATTTTGCGGGACTCTCGCAAAAGGCACCCCGTGACCCAACCAGGGATAGTAAAACGAAACTATCATAAATTTGTCGTAAACAGACTTAGAAAAGATACAAATCCGGGAGCGACGGATCGCTTAATGCTCGCAGACGGACTCGAAAAAGAGCATTAACGGGGGGAAAAAGCCGAGCGACGACCAAACTATCGCAAATGGACTTAAAAACGGGCAGAATATGCAAAAAAAAAACACTGGATGGAACATGTCAAACTGCGGCCCGGCACAGCGCCGCCGTTTTTTTTTTTTTCGTTTTTAAGCTTGTGTGTTCCTCAGAGCTGGAGAAACATCGATGGTTGCGGAAGGCAACTTTTGCAAAACCCTTGGTTTTAAACAGCAGCGTCTGTCCGACACGGTCTGCCCAGCTTTGCTCTCTCCGACGCATTGGATGTGGCCGGAACGCATAAGAACTGTTTAGCTTCCTCTTGTATGGCGGTCATTTCATCATCTGTGGTCATCTAAATAAAAAACAATATTATTATTATTCGTCTTATATTATTAAACAACAATAGATACCTTCCTGTAATTTTTCCAGGTATTGTCTTAAGATAATTATTGCATCAGACCTGCTTGTCTTGGGTTTAGTTGTTATTTTCGTTTGAATAAACGATTGTGTTTGATTTAATAAAAGAAACTATCCGTTTGCTTTTCGAAAATGTGTCATTTAGAATTGGAAGAGATCCAATTAGTTATAGATATCAGTTACGACTGCAACTATTTTGTTATTGTCAACATTCTATTTGGTTAAAATACTTTTAAGTGTATCTGCTATATTTTGAACTGAATGATTAGACGATTCATCCAATTTTCGAGTTGCTTCAGCTTCAGATAGATAAACGCATCGTTAGTAAAATAGCATATTTTATAAGTCTGTGACGTTACGCGATACAGTTGTTGGATGAGGTAGCAGGTTGCTAACGTTTATGTTTGGTCAAAAACGACTTCCAATATCAAGGGCAACGGTTATAATGTCCTTAAGTCCTGAATCGCTGATAATACTAAATGGTCGACAATTTTGAACGACCCACTTCGTCACGACCTTTGTCACCGATAATTTCGTTTCGGCATCTACGACAGGTTCATAAACGTTACCGTTTTCTTCAGATTTGGTAACCTTATAGCACTTATGCCGGACCAAATTGGACGTGGCACCAGTAAACTTGAAAACCGTAAAACAATTTCGACATGCCACGATGTTTGGAATAACATTGCTGTCCTCTCCAACGACAGGACCAAAAACTTCCCACACCTTGCTTTTGCCACGTTTTTGGTTAATTTTGTATTGGCCAGCCATTATTTTTGCTTTTATATCGGCTGGTATTTCGAAGCCAGATTGTGACAAGGACTGCGAATTATATGTGCTATAATATTCGAATAGAAACACACGTGTTAGGTTGTTTTAGTATTATAACCCTACATTTGTATTTACCTTGCTGCTAGCTTATAATTATTAGTGTTAATCTACAATTGTATTTACTATTAACGTTGTACGAAATATCGTAAGTATCTGTATATCGTAGTTCTGCGAACTAGAACTATGCGAGAACTATGGAAGAACTAGAGATCGGAGCTGGGTTGAGGGCACTTTTTGGCTGATCGACAAGACGGAGAGGTTGGAGAAAATAAAGCGAAACAATAATCTTGAAAAGTATAAAACATCCGTGGATTTTCTGCGCCAATAACTTCAGAAGTGGGATCGTAGCCCTTTAAAGTATCTGCCTACATAAGTATTTGTCTACTGGCATCCCCGACAACGAGTATTTTCCACATTTTATAAATGGCTGAGGAAACCATGGCAAACATTGACAAAGAAAAATTGTAGAGTGGTTGCTGGAGAAGGAGATCATTTTTCCAGCCAGCGCAACACTAAGGCAACTTCGCAAGCTTGCCATAAGTGGTGGAATGGACGAAGTTTCTGAAAGTCTGGTGAATAAATCGGATATTGAATCGGAGGAGAAAGTGTCTGAAAATGAGCAGATCGACGATATGAAAGAAGAAGAATTACTTGACGCCGCAATAAGGGTTGCTGAGAAAAAGAAGAAACTGGCTGCCTTAATGGTAATGGACAACCATGTGACCGATGACATCCGAATGGTCAAGCAACTTATTGCCCCTTTTTCTGCCAGTGAAAATGATGAAGCCTCTGAATGGGTCTTGAATTTTGAACGGATTTGCGGAGGCGTGAACGAAAGCAGCAATTTTAAGCTTCGTTGTGTGCGCATGTTGATGAAGGCGGGAACAGAGGCGGACTTGTTCATGCGTGTCGACAAATCAAAGACTTACGACGAGTTTAAAGGAAACTTCCTAAAAACTTTTGGCCGCAGCAATTCAACTGCCGACGTGGTACTCCTGTTGAAGGAAACCTTTTTCAACCCGGAGAAAAACTCCGTAATGGGATATATTCTTCGCATGGAAGAAATTGCTATGCGTGCCGACATCGAAGAGAAATTGACAGTGCAGTTCATCATTGATGGTTTTCGTGATCGATCTTCCAGTATCGCCTTATTGTATTCAGCGTCGACCATCGGAAAACTTAAGGAGCTAGCTCGACAATACGAGGCTTTGAGGAAGAGTACCCAGACGAATTTTAGGCGCACTGGGATGACCGCTTCCGGAAATGACCGGAGCCAGGTGCGCTGCTATAATTGTTCAGCACATGGCCATTATGCTTCATCGTGTCCCGCACCTAAGCGGGAGAAGGGATCGTGTTTCCAGTGTGGATCCATGCAGCACCAGGTGAAGGATTGCCAACAGAAGCCTATGTCAGCCCAGCGATCCGTGGGTACAGCCAGCAACCCGCTGATGGACGACAGAGAGGAGAACAATATTTTTGTTCCTATTGTTAATCAGGTAGGGGTATATTTTTACACTGATATAAAACGCAGGTATCAAATTAAATTTCTTTCTGGCATGTTGGACACCGGTAGCGCTATTAATTTGATGCAGCGCTCGGCGATACCTTATGAAAATTTTGATGGTGTACTAAGACCGACAGAGTATTTTGGAGTTAACGGTTCGAGAATAAGCATTTTTGGAAAAATAATTGTCAATTTAGTTTTTCATAACATTGAAAAAGAACTTATATTTTTCGTTGTACCAAACAACTATATTTCGTATAATGTCCTTCTGGGGCGCAGTTTCCTTGAAAATTATGGAATAAAATTAATTTTTGAAAATGAAATTGAAAATAGAGTATTAGTGAACAGTGACTTAGATGAAAATAGAGTATTAGTGAACAGTGACTTAGATGAAAATAGAGTATTAGTGAACAGTGACTTAGATGAAAATAGAGTATTAGTGAACAATGACTTAGATGAAAATAGAGTATTAGTGAACAGTGACTTAGATGAAAATAGAGTATTAGTGAACATTGAGAGTGACCAAATTGAAAATGTAGTATTGACAAATAGAGACAGTGAGATGATGTTATCAGATATCAATAATAATGGATTATTGAAGGATGAAAATTATGAGAATAAGATTAGTGTCCAATTGAATTGTAATAACATTGACCTTTTATTGAAAGATAACGAGCAAAAGCATATGGCAAGTGAATCATTAGAAAGAACCAACTTAGATATACCGTATATATATAGTATTGAAATAACAAAAGAAGAGGACAGCTATAATATCGACCCAAAGCGAACTGATAAAGAACGTAGTAAATTCATGGAATTGATAAAACTTAACTATTCAGACTTAACTAACATTCCAGCAATTCAACATAACTACGAAATGAATCTCAAACTTAAATCAGAAGAACCTGTACGCACTGTTCCGAGAAGACTTTCATATCAGGAGAAGAAAGAAGTAGATACCCAAATAGATGAACTATTGAAAAAAGGCTTCATAAGAGAAAGTAAATCGCCTTACAGCTCTGCAATAGTATTAGTTAAGAAAAAATCAGGGGAAAAAAGAATGTGTGTAGATTACAAACAGCTTAATAAGATTTGCATTCGTGATGGATATCCATTGCCACTAATAGACGACTGCTTAGAGAGATTAGAAGGGAACACAATTTTTACACTTTTAGATTTGAAACACAGTTATCACCAAGTAAAAGTAGCAGAAAGTTCGGTGCAGTATACAGCATTTGTCATACCTAGCGGACAATATGAATACACAAGAATGCCTTTTGGGCTTATGAATGCACCAGCAGTATTTATGAGATTTATTAATTTCATTTTACAACCATTAATTCGCGAAGGTAATGAGTAGTTTATATGGACGATATCGCTATAGGTTCCAAGTCGTTGAACGAACATCTTATAACAGTAGGTAGAGTTTTAAGAATTCTCGCAGAATATCGACTAGAAATTAAGGTTAGTAAATGTCAATTTGGTTATGAAAGTATTGAGTTCTTGGGATATACCCTTTCTGGTAAAGGAATAAGCCCAAACTGTGAACACACAGCAACCATTAAGCATCTGCCATTGCCAAAAGATCGCCATGAAATGCAAAAGGTTTTGGGATTATTCTCTTATTTTAGGCGTTTCATCCCTGCTTACTCAAGAATAGCAAAACCATTACAAGAACTTACAAAACCTGGAACTAAGTTTGAGCTTCAAGACAAATGCATACAAATTTTTGAATATCTTCGAGAAAAACTGATTTCGTCACCAGTATTAGCTCTGTATAATCCAAATCGAGAAACAGAATTGCATTGTGATGCAAGTAGTGAAGGCTTTGGTGGAATTTTGTTGCAGAAACAAGATGACAATAAGTTTCACCCAACAGCATATTTTTCACAGAGAGCGACAAAACTAGAGGCAAGATACGAAAGTTTCAAGCTGGAAACGTTAGCTGTGATCTATTCATTGAGGAAATTTCGAATTTATTTAGAAGGGATTCCGTTTAGAATTATAACAGATTGTAACTCAGTAGTTTTATGTTTAGGAAAGGGACGTCTTCATTCAAATATCGCCAGATGGGCCATAGAGCTAGCAAATTATAATTACACTTTAAAACATCGTAGTGGAAAATATATGTCCCATGTGGACACCTTAAGTAGATATCCTTCAGCGCTTAATCAAGATTTTGAATATGAACCAATAGTGACAATTCATGAAAGTGATAACAAAGACCGAATAGTTTCCGTGATTGAGTGCGACGACATTAATCTTCAGCTTCAGATAACACAAAACAGGGAAAACCATATAGGAAAATTAAAAGAACAATTGGAGCATGGACCTGTTAAGAAATTTTCATTGAGCGATGGAATTATTTATAAAATAGGTGAGAACGACGTTGAGCTGTTTTATGTCCCAGCTGAAATGGAAACGCAAATAATCAGAAGAGTTCACGAAAACTTATGTCACTTAGGAACTGAGAAATGTATGAAAGAAATCTTAAGACATTATTGGTTCCCGAATATGAGATCTAAAATCGATTTGTTTATAGGAAATTGTATAAGTTGTATCATGTTTTCAGTCCCCACACATGCGAACAATCGAACACTTCACAATATTCCTAAGCGACCAATCCCATTCGACACCTTACACGTAGACCATTTTGGACCACTTCCCGCTGTTATATCAAAGAAGAAGCATGTATTAGTTATCATTGACGCCTTTACGAAATTTGTAAAATTGTTTTCTGTAAATACGACAAGCACTAAAGAAGTCAACACATGTTTTTCAAAGTATTTTCAATTTTATAGTCGTCCACGTAGAATTATTAGCGATAGAGGAACGTGTTTTGCATCATTAGAATTTAGTAAATTTTTGTTAGAAAATAATATAGAACACGTGAAAGTGGCAACTGCTTCACCCCAAGCGAATGGTCAGGTAGAACGGGTTAACAGAACTATGAAAGCTATGCTCGCCAAAATAACTGAGCCAATAAATCACGAAGATTGGAGCAAACTTTTAATAAAGGCTGAATATGCAATTAATAACTCAGTCCATTCGACCACGAAAGAATTGCCTTCAGTGTTGTTATTCGGAGTCCAACAGAGGGGTTGTAATATTGACGCGTTAACAGAATACTTAGATGATAAACAAGACCGAACTCAAAGCGATTTAGAATCAGTACGTAAGAAATCTTTGGATAAAATCGAGCATTGTCAGCAGAAGAGTGAAGAGTATTTTGAAAGGAATCACAAAAATCATATTGAGTTCTTGGAAGGCGATTTCGTTGTAATGAGAAACATTGACACCACAATAGGTACAAATAAAAAATTTGTTCCGAAGTACAAGGGTCCGTACATCATCAAAAAGCTATTGCCGAACGACAGATATGTGTTAAATGACATTGAAAACTGCCAAATAAGCCAAATCCCGTATGAGGGCATTATAGAGGCATGCCGATTAAGAAATGGGCAGATTGGCGTAATCAGTGTGAAAGTGACCCCTACTTAAATAGTTAACAAAATATATATATACACATATAATTAAAATTACTCTTAATTACATATTTACGATCGAGGGCGATCTAATTGTCAGGATGGCCGAGCTGTTAGGTTGTTTTAGTATTATAACCCTACATTTGTATTTACCTTGCTGCTAGCTTATAATTATTAGTGTTAATCTACAATTGTATTTACTATTAACGTTGTACGAAATATCGTAAGTATCTGTATATCGTAGTTCTGCGAACTAGAACTATGCGAGAACTATGGAAGAACTAGAGATCGGAGCTGGGTTGAGGGCACTTTTTGGCTGATCGACAAGACGGAGAGGTTGGAGAAAATAAAGCGAAACAATAATCTTGAAAAGTATAAAACATCCGTGGATTTTCTGCGCCAATACACGCATACATTTTTCTACTAAACTTACATAATCAAAAGAACCAACAATCGAATTTTCCATTTTCAGTAATTAGCAAATTAGTAATAATTAGCATGTCCTTCTCGTTAGCTTTTTGACGTTTTCTTTTCTTTCGATTCGTTTGACTCACACATTCCACACTGCAGTGAGCAAAACAATGCACAACAAATTGAGCGAGAGAGACACCTCATACACTCTCTCTCTGTCACAACGTTTTTCGTAACGGTGTCAGTGCGAGTCATACGATTTGACAGGAGTCACTCGAAAATTATGCCTTGAGTCAATGAGTCAGCAAATGAAGGAAAGAAAATGAATTGAAAGATAGTGTGAAAAGGATACATGAATCATGTTTTGATACTGTGCACAGTGTGATTCTTAACTGTTAATACGAATTAGTGTGTACTCGTGCAGGGCTCTAGTACATACACACTTGATCATAATAAGAGGTACACACATCTTCGTAAACTTTAACATAACACAAAACAGTTGTATTCAATATTTTAAACTTAAAATTAGTTCTCAATTATTCCTACATTTTTTGTTTTGTGTCGTTATCTTGCTGAAATATCCGACGCAAAGGCATATTTTCTTCAGCATAAGGTATAGAAGTCTCCAATATAAATTTGTATTCCTCAGCGTTCATTCTGTTCGTTGTTTGAAAAAGTGGACCTACGACGTACCAGGAAAAGCAGCCCCATATCATTATGTTGCCACCTCCATGTTTGACAGTCTTTTTGGTAAAAGGTGGATCGAATTCCTTTCCCTTAGGGCGTCGTACATTCCTTTCGCAATCATTCCTAAATAATTTTCTTATTATTTCGTCATTCATTTTGCTTTTGGATAGCGAATGGTTCCGCAAAATTGTAAGCCCAATTTTTAAATAAATATGCAAATTACAATACAATAACCAAAAAAAAAAAACCGAAAACATGAATAAATAAACATAAACACGAAAAAAAAGAACGAGAGGAACGTTGTGAGTTACTGCTGCGACCGCAACTCCACATTTATACGCCACACCATCTGCAGCTGATCATCAACAATGTGCCCGTAGCACAACCAGCAACGGTCACACCGGCAGCCGATCATACCCAGTGTGCCTGTAGCCTGCGTACCGACGGGCACATTACCAGCTGATCCACGCGTTAGAAATACGCAAGGGCCTAACAGCTGCTTTTCGGGAAGAGCGTTCTTCATTGGTTCGGTCCCAGCCAGTCAAGTGGTAAGCATCGGTGGCTACAGCCAACAGCTCCAGCGATCGATCCCTT